GTGTGTGTGTGTGTGTGTGTGTAGGGGGAGTGGTGTCCTGATTCTTGTGTCCTCACATGCACAGACCTTCTGTCTCAGTCCATTAGTTAACTTTCCGATACAATCCTCCAGAGACAAGGGCCAGGCTCTGAAAGCTATATTAAAAGCCAGGTCAATACAGGCCCTTGTTCATACCCTCAGAGAAAAGACGTCATTAATTACCACCGAGGAAGATAGATTGTGGGAGATGGGGGTGTGTGGCATGCCAGTGGATCAACAACCAGCACGTGAGGCCTTTTTGTTTCAGGCTAGTGATGCAGAACCCATAGCTATAGCGCCATTTAATTCTTGGATGGAGAACATGTGGTCCTTCAAATGTCATTGGACTACAAGCCCCTTCTTCCCTCAGCATAGGATGCAACTGAGTGTGAATGGCAGCCACAGTCCAACAACATATGGAGGAACACATTGTGCCCACTCCTATTTGAATTCTCACAAGACTTTTGGTTCTGCTCATTTCTACAGCCTGAATCAATTGTGAAAGGAGGATTACCTGATATATTTCTACTTCTTGGACACCTTCTCAGCCAAAGGGATCCCTCTAGATCAGTGGTTCCCAACCTTGGGCCCCCAAGATGTTCTTTGACTAAAATTCCCAGAAGCCTTCATTACTAGCTGTGCTGGCCAGGATTTCTGGGAGTTGTAATTCAAGAACATATGGGAACCAAGGTTGGGATGCACTGCTCTGGATGTTGTCGAACTATACCGTTCATATCATGCATGGCCACTAGCCTTGTTGTCTCAGGCTAACAACAGTTGTAATCAGCTACTGGGCTGTTTCAAGCTAAGCTGAGGAGAATGGAGGCCTAATGAGGGAGAGAGGAAAGGAGTCATTGTTCTTGCTCATAAACATAGCGCCTTGGCCACATGACTCCTGGTTTCACTACAATCTAGATCATTTGTGTCTAGATTGTGAGCTTTTTGGTAGTTTGCCTATGGGTTTGCTGAGTACCTACCTAAAAAAAAAATCCAAACTGTCTAGTCAGTGTTTCCATTTCTAGTGGAATATATGTATTACCAGGGCCAGCCTTGCTGTTAGCTAGAGTGGTGAGACAGTTTCTTAGTGTCTGCAGTTTCTTAGTGTCATGAAACAGCAGGAAATTGGTAGTTATTTTTCATAGCTGTAGTTTTATGGCCAGATTGGAAGAAAAGTATTTGTATGGTTTTCTACCCATTGTGGTAAAAAAATTAAGTGGCTGACTTTGCGTGTTGTGTATACTGAATGGGAGGGTGCTGTTTTTCACTCCACCATAGGCCATAAAATGTCTTCAGCCAAGTCAATCTTGTATACTGCAAAACTATCTCAGGTTATCTGCTATTTATCGCTTACTTCAAAAGATCCTGGGAATTATAGTTTATCAAGGGCACAATGATTTAACTGTTTCAAATCACCCAGGAGTGAGGAAATGACGGTTAAACCAGCTTGAATTTGTGGTGTAGATGTATAATTACCTTATTATCAATCCCTAATCATAGGCAACACACAAATTCCTGCTTTCTTTGCTCCCAGGCTTGCTCTGGAATATTATCTTTTATTTTAAAGTAAATAACTCCAAAGTGAATTTTACAAGTGAGAAGAGAAAATGGGTTGGAGAGAAAATGCCAGGGAAGCACATAATAGATTCCATTGCTTAGCAGAGAGGAGTTGCAGATCTTCCAGTTACTGGCTCAGTTAGGGAACCTTTTTTCTTGCAAATGTACGGTATGTTTTTTTACTTGCCTTGTTTGGATCCCAAAGGGAAGAGGCTGAAACTTCCAAAAGGATCAGAGAAAACTAAGGGCTTGACCATACGGAACGATTGTTTCATTTCATTTGTTTCCACGACACCACCATTCTTCCTGCTGTCCACACAATGCAAGAATCAAAAAGGTATCAATGGTAGCAAACAGACACAAACTCATTGATTTCCATGCTTTTTTACACCTCCTAAAATAGGTAGTGTATATTTGACCCAAAACTCTTGGGTCAGAGGCTGTGAAGTTAGTGCTTATTTTAAATTAAACAATCCAATCACAGGCTTTCAAATAAAAGCATTCTGACAAAACAATATTCAAGAGGTCACTGTTTTGAATGAGGGGCTGTTTCTGCAGAGTGACACCAACATGGATTAGTAGTGATGATGTCCCACTGCACTGGTCGTAGCTTTGATTGCATCAGAAAGTTTCAGTTTTAGCACTGTTGCACTACAGCGGTAGTTCCCACCTTAGGAAATTCAGAGGTTCTTGTACTGCAACTCTCAAAACCTCCACTACTAGACTAGGTGCTCACTGGGGTTTCTGGGAGTTGCAGTCCAAGAACACTGGGTTACCCAAGGTTGGGGACCACTGCACTAAGCAATGGGGGGAGGGACACCATGATCCAGCCAAAAATGTCATCTTATAAAGTTTTCTTCAAGTGTTGGTTTCCAGCATGGATTATCAGGAGGTGACTGCTGTAAGGGGCTCAAATTTTAAAACTTAAATTCAGAATTAATCTAGTAAACTGCTGGTAAAATGAAGGAAAAAGTGGTGTCATTGGCAGAAGCTCTGGCGCTAGATCACAGGAGCATAAGAAAATTCTCACCCTAGTTTGACTAGCTGTTCTCTATACATAAGAAGGGAAGTGCCACCAAAAGTGCTTATGGCAAGCTTTCAGGTTAGCAAAAATTGGATAAACCACTGATCAAGTAAAAGGAAGGAAAAGAAAAGGATGGAGTTAGCCCAAAAGATTGTTTTAATGATTCCTTTGAACTTTTTTCATATATTTTGGAAGCATTTTATCAAGAACTAGAGATTTCTTAAAGGAGAAGTGGAATTTTTAAAGTATGTATGAACAGAAAACCATTATGACCGAGTATGAGCCACATTCTATGGGCACCAAGTGGCACCAGCCAGCACAATGTAGGGAGGAACACTTTTGCTTAATGAGGACAGAGTATGAATTTATTTATGGAGGCATGGTATCAGAACCCCCCAAACCAAATGAAATGGAAATGAACTGCTTGTATTCTGTCCTGATTCAGCATTTTAAGTATGCACCAGTTGGTATGCATGCACTGCTATATTGTCCCCAGCTCCTAGGACTGAACCATCAGATTTCTCCATTTATGCCAATATGCATAAAGTGAATGTTTGCCATGAGCACCTTTGGTGTCAGTTACCTTCTGATGCACAGAGAACAGCCACTCAAACTAGGTAGAAGCACATTTGCAGCTCCCCATCCCCCACCCCTGACAGCAATAATGTCAGTCTCCTTAGTAGCCTCTGCCCTTGTTGCTCTTGCAGGCCTATATGATCTTAGGCTGCAATAGCTATTGCTGTCTTCTCACGAGCAACAGAAAAGCAGGAGTGTGGAAATGAAGAGAATTGGCTTCAATTCTGTACTGAACCCATGACGTTCAAAAACAAGTTTCTAACACCGTGGAAGAGCATCTGAACTGTTGGACACCAGAGGAAATGCCATGTCTGTATATGCTCAGGTTTAGAGTTCCTAGAAGTACCATGCGGTTTTCCCATCCAAACACTGGTGCTAAATGGATAAGACGTAGCAGGAAAAAAAATTGGGATGGACAGCAAGGATGGTGATTAGATGGCGGATTCCCTACGGTATGAGAGTGGGTCCAGGGGAATGGAGACCTGCAGCCGATCAAGATCAATATGACTTCCAAAGTCCATCATGGATATGACTCCAGCATCTTCCTTAGTGACTCCTCCCAAATCAACTCCCACATCCAAGTCATCCTCTTCATCTTCATCCTGGCTGACAAGGGCTAGCTCATTCTCATAGCAGAAGGCACTAGGGGGAGGTGGCAACGAAGGAAGGACAGTGATCTTGCTCTCCTGCAGTTCCCGAGCAGAGCAGTAAGGAGTTCCAACCACCTCGTAGGTCTTGTGGAAGCGTGAATAGTCCACTTTGTAGTGTTTCTTCTCCTCAAAGACAACAGGCTCAAAACGGTGGCCCCAGAGGATTTCACTTGCCAAGTAGGAGCTGCGAGCCTGCGTTGTCATAGCTGTAGCTTCCACCATGCCCTCCAGGATGACCACAATTTCAAAATCTTCTCTTTCCAGCTCTTCCTTGCCAATCCCATACAGTGGACTCTCCTCATCGATCTCATGGACAATAATAATGGGAGAAACCAAGAAGATGCGGTCAAGGCCTATGTCGTATCCTACATTCAGATCCCGCTGGTCCAATGGAAGATACTCACCTTCTGCTGTCATGTAGGGCTTGATCAGTTGGGCCCGGACATGTGCTTCCACAATATGGCTCCTCCTTAAATTTCCAACTCGCCACATGAGGCAGAGTTTGCCATCCCGTAGAGAGATGACAGCATGATGGCTGAAAAGAAGGGTCTGAGCCCTTTTTTTAGGACGGGCCATCTTAGCCATGATGGTGCCAATCATAAAAGAGTCAATGACACAGCCCACAATGGATTGTACCACTACCACCATGATAGCTAGTGGGCATTCCTCAGTCACATATCGGAAACCGTACCCAATGGTTGTCTGTGTTTCTACCGAGAAGAGGAAAGCTCCCAAGAAGCCATTCACATGTTTGATGCAGGATTTTGTAGCAGTGGGACCACTAGCTGCACTGGAGGCATCTAAGTCACCATGAAAGAAAGCAATGATCCAGAAGATGAGCCCAAAAAACAGCCAGGAGGCCAAGAAAGCTGCTGAAAAGATCATGAACATGTAGCGCCAACGAGAGTCAACACATGTAGTAAAGATGTCGGCCATGTACCGCTGAGACTTGTTGCTTAGGTTGGCAAAATAAACATTGCACTGACCATTTTTCTTAACAAAGCGGTTCCGCCGTTTCCTTCGTGGAGCATGGCCTTTCCCGTTGCGACTGTGACCATTAAAGCTGCCAAGGGAAGAGACTTTGTGCCCATCCTCTTCTGTGGAAACAATACTGTACCTTATGAAAGAGACAAAGAGATTGTAATTCAGAGGGGAAGACTATAACTAGTTGTCCAGGTCAGAGCTTGAAATTAACCAGTTACAAATAACCACTTTTTTTCTGCAATGACAGAGGTATGACTAAGCTACATTACAATCCTACCAGAAAAAGAAATATACTGTTAACCATACGAGAGCAACTGGTTTCAGGGTGCGACTACACTATACTGTGTACAGTTTTGATTTGCAGCCTGTATTATATTTGAAAATGCCATCAGTTTTCACAAAGGAACTGGGGATTGACTTGGGAGTTTGCCATTCACACTGAACGTGGTGTGAGAAACATTCCAGCCCATAGCTCCACTCTTTCCTTCCTTCCTCTGGTCCTTCCTCTAGTGATACTTTTATGGTTTGCTAAGCTTTGAAGCCACTTTCTCATTTAAAGCTTCAGTCTATTACATTTCTCAAAAACCTTTCTATAGAAAAGTAACATGGAGAGGTACTTCATAGTCTAAGAGTATAGAACATCAAGTCTGAACAAAAATTTTGCACCGTACCTCATAATGATTCCATAACAGAGATCACTACCTTCCTCTTCCCATCTGTTATTCTTTTCACTCACTTTCAAGTAACATATCTAAAAATTACCTCGAGTGTGGTTTTAAACTATTGGGATGATAAACTGTGACCAGAAATAAAGTATTCAATCAGAAAAAAATACTTGAGATTCGCCCATTTTATAAGTGGAGCAAATCCCACAATATTTGTCCATGTTGTTGTACTCTCAGATACTTCTACAGTCACAGGAGTTTGGTGTTTTTTAATCACAGCTGACCAGTGTGTGGCATTCTGCTTATCTTTTCTTTCATTTTAGCATCTCAGAATTTTAGCAAACTTTGAGTAATGGGAAAGCAAAAAGAGAGGCCCGGAAAATGATGACTAGAAATCGGGCCTTCTTGGTGGTCACTCCATAACTCTGGAATAGTTTCCCGCACAAATTTGCCTGGCCCCTTTACTTTCAAAAGACTACTAAAAACATGGATGTTCAGACAGGCCTTCCTGGACTTTAGAACATCTTAATAAAGTGGTGGTTTTTAACAATTACACCTTCAAACCTTCGCCATGCCTTTTTATTATTTTAATTATTTATTTGTCATTGTTGCAACATTTTGTTTTAAGTTGCTACTCAGTTAATCTTTGTATTGTTGTTTTATAATGCATCTGATGGGTCTACTGTGAGACACAGGAAGCTGGACTAGATGGCTCTTGGCCTGATCCAGCAGGGCTCTTCTTATGTTCTTATGTTGGAATCTGTAAACAGCCCAGCATGGCCTTAGTAGCCAGATGAGTGGTATAAAATCAATCAAACAAACAAATAAATGTAAGAATAATAATAGTGATTTTAAAAAAAATGGGAGTGAATTATGTTCTTAAAGTAAAATCCCAAGTACTATATTCAGTGCCTCACACCTTTCCACCTACACATGATAATTGTCATACTGGGTCTTCAGGTGAATGCAGATATGTTGCTTTGCAAGAAAGAAGGGCAAACTCCATTAAAGGTCTGGTGCAATGAAGAGAAACATGTAACACAGTACATGTTCTGCAAAGATTCATAAGAGTGGATCATTCTGAGTTCAAAATATTTGCCTTTAAAATATGTTCTCTGCAATTTTTGAATATTTTTCTTTATTTCTGCTTATAGCATGCTCAGTAAAAGAAAGAGCAAAAGCAATTAAAGCAAACTGAAAAATTAGAAAATAAGGACCCCCCCCATACATGTTTTTACACATAAAAGTTTCATCTTATACTCAATGCAAGGATTCTGAAGGATGTGATACATGCTTTTGAATCTCAATCTTGTCCAAGTTAAAACTCCCGTCTCTATTTTTTCTCAGTTCAAAGCAATACTGTACCATCACATTTTCAGCTAGCTCAGGGATGAGGAGTCACCTGCTGTCCAGATGTTCCTGAACTAAGACTCCCACAGACTTTTGAGGCTGACAGGATTTAGCGTTCCACAGCACCTGATGGTCCACAACCAGGTTCCCCAGCTCTGAGCCATCCAATCCTGGCCAAACACTGTGATTTGACTGAGTGGTATACACACAGCATTCTCCAGCAAGGAAGCCCACAACACAGTGTGTGTAGCCTCCAAGCCTCCCTTTGCAAGGAGAAGCAAGGGCAAATCAGCAGGACACAGGAGGGGCTACGGGAATGTGGTTTCATAACATTTTAACTCTGAATTGCATAAGGCTGGAACTTTCTATTTTCTCTTCTATTCGCACATGTTGATCTAATTGCGCATCTGTGACAATGTTTATACTCTTCTTAAATTCTAGACAATTCTGTTGCTAGAGCAACAAGCATGTTTTCCAGCATCCTATCTCTTAAGCTAAAGGTATAATTAAGAGATCGAGATACAAAGGGTTGGCAGAGACTCAAACGCAACTCCCTCTCTCCCAGAGCCATGGCCTGCCTTTGTCTCCTAACTCTTCAAAATGTATCCCACACCCCTCTGTCTTTGTTTTGACTGAAAGGGAGGAGGATTACTACTGCTGCAGTTTCATCACAGACTGTCCTGCTTGACCTCACAATTTTCACAAAAGATGCTGTCAGAGCAAATATATAGAAGACCTGGCTGAAGAACTCTCAGAACCGCTATCCATTATTTTCTTGAAATCATGGGAAACGGGTCAGGTGCCAAAGATTGGAAGAGGGCTAATGTTGTCAAAAAGGGCAAAAAAGAGGAACCTGGAAACTACAGGCCAGTCAGCCTGACATAAGTCCCGGGCAAAATTTTGGGACAGATTGCAAAGGGGTCATTGTGCAAGCACCTAGAAAACAATGCAGTAATAACTAGAAGCCAACACAGATTTGTCAAGAACAAATCCTGCCAAACTAATTTGATCTCGTTTTTGATCAGGTAACCTCCCTGACAGACAGATGGAATGTTGTAGATGTAGTATATCTTGACTTCAGCAAAGCTTTTGACAAAGTGCCCCATGATATCCTGATTAGCAAGTTAACTAGGTGTGGGCTGGATAGATCAAGTGTCAGGTGGATACACAGTTGGCTATAAAAAGGTGCTCAGAGGGTGATGATTAATGGCTCCTTCTCTAACTAGGAGGAGGTAACAAGTGGGGTACCCCAAAGTCCTGGGCACAGTGCTCTTCAATACTTTTTTAATGACTTGGATGAGGCAGTGCAAGGAATGCTTGTCAAATTTGCAGATAATAACAAATTGGGTGGAATAGCTAATACCCTGGAAGACAGAAACAAAATTCAATATTACCTTGATAGGATCGAGCACTGGGCTGAAAGCAACAGAATGGAATTCAACAGGGATAAGTGCGAAGTACTGCAACTCGGAAAAAGAAACCAATTGCACAGCTACAAGATGGGGGAAATACTTGGCTCAGCAAAACTACAAGCGAGAGACATCTTGGAATTGTCGCAGATCACAAGCTAAATATGAGCCAACAGTGTGCTGTACCTACAAAAAAGGCAAAAGCTATTTTTTGGGCTTCATTAATAGAAGAATAGTTTCCAAAACCTGCGAGATGCTAGTTGCCCTCTATTCAGCACTGGTTAGGTCTCACCTTGAGTCCAGTTCTGAACACCACACTTCAAGAAGGATGCTAACAAATTGGAACAAGTTCAGAGGAAGGTGACAAGGATGATCAGGGGGCTGGAAACCAAGCCTTATGAGGAAAGGCTGAAAGAATTGGGCATGTTTAGCCTTGAGAAAAGAAGACAGGGGTAATATGATAGCAGTTCTCAAATATTTGAAAGACAGAGGAGGGGCAGGATCTGTTCTCAATCATCCCAGAGTGCAGAACACACAACAATGGGCTCAATTTAAAGGAAGCCAGGTTTTGGTTGAATATCAGGAAAAACTTCCTAACTGTTAGAGCAGTACAACAGTGGAACCTTGGGAGTTGGTGAGTGCTCCAACACTGGAAGCATTCGAGAAAAAGTTAGATAACCACCTGGCAGATATGCTTTTATTGTATTCCAGCTTTGAGCAGGGGGTTGGACTTGATGGCCTTGTAGCCTCTTCCAACTTCACTTTTCTATGTATGATTCTATAGCACTGATAGTTGACAAGACTGAGACAAGACAAGAAAGAGAGTGAGAGAGCAAAAGAAAGGACTACAAGGGAGTGTTCATCAGTGCTGAAAGTCCAGAGGAGGTTCATTTCCATCATTGAGCCCTAAGGATCTCTTGCCTTCCAGAACTTGGTGCCTCATAAATGCATTGCACTCCAGTTCCCCTCATCCCCGATATGCATGGTAAGTGGTGGCTCAGAATGATGTCATTTGTAGTCCAACCCCTCTGGAGAACACCTGGGTGGGAAGACTGATCAACATGCCAGCAAGGATCCAGATCCATTTCATGAGCGAAACCACCTCTAGGTTGCATTGACATTATTTTTTTAAAATGAGAGAAAGGTGCATGATTTTACCTGAATCCTCAATCAAAATGCTGATCATATTCCAGCAAAATGCCTTTGGCTACATAATGTTGAAAAGGTACCATAAAATTAAAATTCCTGTATCAGGGCAATAGGGCTGCCTGAAGACATTTTGCTGCCTAGGAAGGAATAGGAAAAGGTGCCCTTCAGCTCCCCACATCAAAGTGCAGAGTGCCCAAATCCAGCCATGTTGTCTAGACACTGGACAAGCAAGCAAGCAAGCAAGCAAGCAAGCAAGCAAGCAAGCAAGCAAGCAAGCAAGCAAGCAAACATACACCCATCCCCATCACTAATAATAAAAATACATTCAGGTTATACTCAGGTTGTGCACTACAGTATTTGTAGTGGAATGGCAGGATAGAAATTGCATAAATCAATAAGCAGATGTGATTTGGATCCAAATTAGAAATCCAACCATCCCTTGCCTAAAATTTGCAGCAACATGTTTCTCCCTAGATTTGTACTTTGGTGTCTCAAAGGGAAGAAGAGGCACTCACTCACCTGTTTATCCGAATGCTGCCCATGATTCGCTTTATCATGAGGTTCCTCTTGTTACTGAGGTGAAGGGCTTCCAGTGTTGTATATGAGGACCGGTGCCTCCCACATACAGAAGCACACACAAAACAATAAGGCAGTGGTGCACCTCAGAGATGCTGGAGAGTAGCCACAATTCCCATAGTTGTGACATAAATACCTGTATTAGAGATAAAAATGCAGAAGAAAAAGGTCACAGATGTTGCAAAATCTGAGTCTAGTCAATGAAAATAAGAGTTTTCCTTTGGTTCATCTGTATTTATCTCGTATCTTTCCATCAGAGAACTTAACATAGTGTACATAGAATTCTCTGGCCAGTGACTCCATTGGGGCTGAACTTTGAGACTGAGGTCAAGGTGCCTGCACCCAACGGGTCCCCATGTAACTGTCACAGCACACAGATGTTATTGAGCATCTTTGGAGAAGATGATGAAACATGGCACTTCAGATGTAAGCACATCGTGTCAGCATCTGGTTCTCCCACTTCACTGAACAACAACCCACCAAATATTTAGTCGGGTGTATTGGGCACGAGGGTACCAGCTGCTGAGGTTGTCACTTTGTCAGCATTTTATTTCCCTAGAGTCCCTCTTTAGCTGCACTGAACCTAGAAGCATTCTGGGAAAATGAAAATGGAGAGTTTAGCTGAAGCACTGGCAGTACTAACACTTCTCTGTATAACACGCACGGCCAAATAAATGTTTAAGACAGGAGAGGCACTAAATAGAGTGATGGTGGATATGTTAAGCAGAAAGCCACCTTGGCCATGGACAAACAGGGAGCCAGAGGTGACAGTAGGCAGAGACTTCCTTTCCTTTTGATTGGTCAGAGGTGTGCAAGAACAGTCTTTTAACTGGTACACAGTGTCAGAGAGCACAGCCCAGTGAAAAACCTGCTCTTGCATGCTTCTGACCAAGCAGAATTAAGAGGATGGATTACAGTAGTCTGGCAGCAATGGAACTGAGAGGAAAATGAAGAAATTCAATTCTTCAAAACAAAAAAAAACACCTTCTGGTTTATAAATATGAGTAGCTCACAATAAAGTTTCTGTATCTGTGATTCAAAATGCCAAGAAATTACCCAATATTGCTGCACAACATCATGCCTGCATTGCCAGCAGGAAAAAGGATGCCAAGCTTTACATAGCAAATGGCAGCCTGAATATTAACAACACAGCAGTCAAGATGGTCTACACTCTACAGCAGTGGTCCCTAATCTTTCTGGAACCATGGACTGCTTGGGGGGGGTGGGCTCTGTGTGCGGGGGGGGCAGCCCCCCGCACTTGCAGGTGGGCGTGTCATGCTTGGGGGGGCTTGTCACACTCGCAGGGGGCATGTCGCAATCAGGGCTGGGACAAACAAATGTCAAAAATTTTTGAATATGCCTTACAAAATTGTATGCTAATTCCCTAGAGATGCACAGCAAAATGTCCCTTTCTCGAGGATTGTCATTCCATTAATTTATTTAAAGCAAACCTGGTTGGTTTTTTGTTTGTTTGGGTTTTGTTTTGTTTTACTATCTAAAGAAAATCTGTTTTTTGACTGTTTCTGTGACCTTTCATTACCCTCCAAACATCTCCCTTCCTGGCCCATGAAGCTGCAAAAATGTATCTGTTTTGGAACACTCTTGCTGGTAAGCCTGTTCCATGTATAGTTGGTCTTGTAACAAAGTAATCGTGTTTCCTTTTTGAAGGACTTTTTGAGGGTCAGTATTTTAGCCCCTGCAGCCTGGATTTCTTCCAGATTAAAAAAAACTGGTGTAATCAACCATTCTCTTTCAAGATAAGCAAGATTGGTCTTTTTAAATTTGTATAAGCTATTTTAAATCTGAGGATGCTTAGGGTTGCTTGCTTCTGCATGGGTGGAGACAGTTTTACATTTTAAGAACCATAACTTGAAAACTATTTGGCACATAACAAGAGCAGACTGTCTGCTAAATATGTGCTGATCCAAAATCCAATTTATAATTTGTTAGGGCTCCTCCATTTTTAGAATTCCCTGGTAGAATGTTAATTTGATCTGCTGCATAATAACGTAGCTATACTACCAAGCAGCTATAAGAAGGGGAGGAACAGAGGGGAGAGAGAGATAGTGGAATCATATGGAAAAAGAAAAGGGCTTGCCCCACTCGCTTTCCACTCTGGACACATTTTCCACTGGGTCCAGCCCTGTCCACCATCAACAAGTGTTTTTCTGTTACTGGGATAACTGGCCTTCAGCATAAAAAAGTCTGCTGCCCACTCCTTGTATAAACCAACGCTTATTGTTTCTCATTACCAGAGTCTCTGAATACTAGTGACCACTTACATGGCCACTGCACTTGCAACCACTGGGTTTTTTTCTTTTCTTTTCACAGGCATATCAATACATCGAAGCAGCTGCCATTAAAAAAAAAAGAAATACATTGCTCAGACAGGAGACAGCCTTCCTCCTGCCCCTTGCAGATGGGGAAAGAGAACTTTGCAGAGAAAGGGCCCTTTCCTGCTTGGGATTGTTTGAAGGGAAAGAGAAAGATGGGGGGGGGCAACAAAAACAGGAATACAGTGGGGTCTCTGCTTAAGAACTTAATCCGTATTGGAAGGTGGTTCTCAAGTGGAAAAGTTCTTATGCAGAATCTGCATTTCCCATAGGAATGCATTGAAAACCATTTAATCCGTATCTGCTCTTTTCCGTCCATAGAAACTAATGGGAAGCTGCTATTCCGCCTTCTGCC